AATGGTTAAACATTTCTTTGTTTTACATGGACCTGCTGTTATAAAAACTGCTTTATTAGATTTTTCAAAATTTTGAGCCAAATCTCAAAATTGTCCTCTGGTATAGGTGCTTTTAGGAACCTTGCTGTATATATTCATTCACTAACATCTTTGTATGAGGAATGTTCGTTCGTTTTACGGCTGCGGCGTGGGTGAAAGCCCGTGCCAAATGTTACTTTGTGGGACAATAAAGTTAATCTTGAAGACAAGATGGCACTTTATTCAAATCAAGTAGCACATTCGGGTGACACAGCAGAGAGTACAGGACAGTAGAGAAAATTAGATGCAAGATGAAACAAGACTAAAAATGACAAAATACATACAGAAAACACACATATACACACACACACACACACACACACACAGCGGCTGCAATAAGTATTGAACAAGTCACCATTTTTCTCACTACATATATTTCCAAAGGTTCTATTGACATGACATTTTCACCAGATTTTGGTAACAACTCAAGTAATCCATACAAACAAAGAAACTAAAACAAGTAAGCTCAGAAATTAAGTCATGTGTAATAATGTGAAATGACACAGGGGGTAAGTATTGAACACATGGAGAAAGGGAGGTGCAGAGAGGCATGGAAAGCCAAGACAACAGCTGAAACCTATCAGTAATTAAACAGCAACCCAGCCGCTTGTTAGTGCAAATTAATATCAGCTGCTTCAGTGCCAATTGAGGCCTACAAAAAAAAGGTCTCAGGTGTCACTCAAGACACATCTCAAGACCTTCACAAACTAATTGTTGCAAAACATACCGATGGCATTGGTTACAGGCGCATATCTAATGCTGCGTTCGACGGCAATGGGATGTGGGACTTATCCTACCTGAAGTCTACTAGCTCCTACTTCAAAGCGTTCCAGGTAATTGAAGTGGAATGTAAACAGAAAACATGGACGACCGCAGTCTCTTTAGAGGAATTATTACAATTGTATCAATAACACATTGATTAACATATTGTCCAGCACTGGGTAACGATATATGGCGGTGTTAGAGATGTTCTGGCGCCGTATGAAAGCTTGCCATATCGCTAAGGTATATTTACATATCTTCATGCTAACAGAATAACGACATAATTTCACGCCATAATATGAAAAACAAGTTGTGTTAAAATTGCAGTGTCTAAAACAACCCTACACTCACAAAAGTAAAGTTTATAGCCTATTCGTTCTCACAACGTGTGATTCCATGGGCGCCGCCATTTTGCTCCGACGTAATTGTGGCGAAGTCGGGGGAGGTCGAGCTCCCCGACTTCGCCAGTTGGAGGTTCCACTTCGACAGGCATTCCAGTGCACTTTTCTTAGTTGGAGGTAGGATAAGTCCCACATCCCATATGCCGTCGAACGCAGCATAAGCTTCCGAATGTTCCAGTGAGTACTGTTGGAGCCATAATACGCAAGTGGAAAGCCAATCATTTCACCATAGATTTGCCTCAATCAGGTGCTCCTCGCAAGATTTCAGACAGGAGTGCAAAGAATAATCAGAAGAGTTGTCCAAGAGGCAAGAACCACCTGTGTTGAGCTTCAAAAAGACCTGGAATTAGCAGGTAATGTTGTCTCAAGGAAAATGGTGAGTAATGCACTCCACCACCATGGCCTTTTTGAAGCTCAACACAGGTGGTTCTTGGCTCTTGGACAACTCTTCTGATTATTCTTTGCACTCCTGTCTGAAATCTTGCGAGGAGCACCTGTTCGAGGCAAATCTATGGTGAAATGATTGGCTTTCCACTTGCGTATTATGGCTCCAACAGTGCTCACTGGAACATTCGGAAGCTTAGATATGCGCCTGTAACCAACGCCATCGTTATGTTTTGCAACAATTAGTTTGCGAAGTTCTTGAGAGACACTGGGACCTTTTTTTTTGTAGGCCTCAATTGGCACTGAAGCAGCTGATATTAATTTGCACTAACAAGCGGCTGGGTTGCTGTTTAATTACTGATAGCTTTCAGCTGGTGTCTTGGCTTTCCATGCCTTTTTGCACCTCCCTTTCTCCATGTGTTCAATACTTACCCCCTGTGTCATTTCACATTATTACACATGACTTAATTTCTGAGCTTACTTGTTTTAGTTTCTTTGTATGTATGGATTACTTGAGTTGTTACCAACATCTGGTGAAAGTCATGTCAATAGAACCTTTGGAAATATATGTAGTGAGAAAAATGGTGACGTGTTCAATACTTGATGCAGCCGCTGTATGCTTCAATAATGCTAAAATAATATCCTTCATCTTCTAAAAGGATATTGAATGTTGATATTGATGACTGTTTTTATGATATGTCTGCCAATTCAGCACCTGTTGTTCCTTCACAAGGTTTTATCCCTTGGGTTTGGGTTTTTCCTCAGGGTTGGGGGGGGGGGGGGGGAGACTTTAATCACTGTGATTAAAGTCTTCACAAACAAAAATGTACTTCGTTTCTCATTGTCGTCAGTTTTTGATTTTTTTTCTCCGTTTACTCTGCTCTCAGGGAGTGGGCCATCGACAGGAAGGTGAAGCTAATGGGGACGTGCGGGGGGCCGGCCCACTTCTCCGGGGAGCATTTGGACACCCTGTACCCCCGGGACATGCGCTGTCAGAGCCAGGACGCCATGCTGAAGGCGGAGTTCGAGGAGGCCACCAGGGCAGCGCCGCCCACCGAGGCCCCGGTGGCCAAGGTCAAATGCCCCGCCAACTGTGCCTGCGAGGTGAGTCGGTTGTTGTGAAAATGGTGAGGTCACGGTGTGAGAAATGCTCAGAGTTGCACTTCTGAAGTGCAGTGTCCGCAGTAAGCATCCTGGAGCAAGGTGCCTCACCCCTACCCAGGGCTGGACTGGGACGGAAAAAATCGTCCCTGGCCTTTTGGCCCGAGACCGGCCCAACGTAATCGGATCACACGGGGTTTAAAGAAGTGATTGGGCCAGCCTGAGTGTCAATTAAGAAAAAAACAAAACAATAGGGCCAGTCTACCTCTTTTATGGTTTCGGTCAGACAAAAAAGTAAAAATAAAACACAGTTGTGGCCCACCGGGAAAGTGCCCGGTCTGCTATATGGCCAGTCCAGCACTGTACCTAATAAATTGATAAAAGCATCTGCTAAATGGCTAATGAATCGTCAACTATTAATTGTGTAGTAAACATATATAAACAAATATCCTCCTCGTCCGCAGGCAGATACCCACCACTCCACCTGTGAGAACCGAGGTCACACCAAGGTTCCTCAGGGCTTCTCGGCCGACACCAAACTCCTGGACCTGCGCGGCAACCACTTCCACTACATCCCCAGCAACAGTTTCCCCGGTGTACACCAGGTGGTGTCGCTCCACCTGCAGCGCTGCAAGATCGCGGAGGTGGAGGACGGCGCCTTCAACGGGATGAAGGGCTTGGTCTACCTGTACCTGTCCGAGAATGACCTCACCTCTCTCAGCCCGGAGGCTCTCAAAGGTCTCTGAATGGCTCAAAACTAGTGGACTAGATTTCATGTTACATGTGTTGTTTGAAGGTTGCATAGTTTGACTCCACTCTTTAGATGGTCCTTTATTACCTACAGTTTTGTGACCTGTTTTTAAAATACTTTAAAATAGGGTTTGATCATCTGCACACTATAAAGCGGACATAATGGTAAACATAGTCAAGAGTCAAGACTACCAAACCTAACTGCACCACAGTGGTGGCGGCCCTGCAGAATCCTACTAATGACACTAGAAGTAATCTCAAAACCACCAGAACTGACCCTTGATCTGCCCATCATACCCCCCCAGGTCTCCCTCAGCTGACCTACCTCCACCTGGAGAAGAACCGCTTCACCAGCTTCCCCAAAGGAGCCTTCAAGCTCCTCCCCAGTCTGCTGGCGCTGCACCTGGAGGACAACGCCATCGCCAAGCTGGAGTCCGGGTGTCTCGCGGGGGGCGGCGAGGGCGTCAGGGGCCTCTACCTCACGGGGAACGCCGTCAACGGCATCTCTGCCAGGGCGCTGGAGCAGGCCAACGACCTGAACATCCTCCACCTGGGGGGCAACAAGCTGAAGGAGGTGCCCAGCGAGGCGCTGAGCAAGGCGGGGAACCTCGGCGAGCTGAAGCTGTCCGGGAACCCCATCCGCTGGGTGGGAGCGAACGCCTTCCGAGCGCTGGGCGCCACCCTGAAGGATCTGTATCTGGACAACACGGGTCTGGAGAAGGTAGGGGGCGCCGTGTGTCTGGGAGGGGGAAGGTTTGCCATGTGAGATTGATTTTGTTTTTCCGATCAATTGGAATACAGTGTCAACGTATCGTCATGACTACGGTGTCTCAATTTCCCACTTTACTTTCCGTTCTTTCTTCATTTAAATGTGTGGACATCTGGCAAAACATTTTATTTAAATTTATTTTATTTTCATTCTATTTTATTGTTTGTTTTTTAGTTTTTACCTTATTTCATGCAACTGCGATATCTGTACTGCACTTTGGTCAACCCCGGTTGTTTTTAAATGTGCTTTATAAATAAAGTTTGAGTTGAGTGTTTGTAATCTAATCTAAGGGATAGGATAGGTGTCCTGGCTAGGGTGACCTTGGACCTCAACAACTAAACCGTAGTCTCATACATATGCGTTTAACTGATAATATACAATTTACTACTGTTTTTGTTCACGTGTCGTGGCTGTCAATTTAAATGATTAACCTGCATCATGGCGACTATTGATCATTTTGCTAATCCATTCTTTGCTAATCCATTCTTTTAAGATGTCAAAGGACTCTCTGGCTGGGCTTGGTGCTGGGCTGAGGAGTCTTTACCTGGAAGGGAATCAGCTGGAGGAGGTGCCTGATCTCCACCCTTTGACCTCTCTGGAGGTCATCAACTTGGCCGAAAACCCTCTGCTCTGTGACTGCCCCCTACTGCCCTTACGCATGTAAGACACACACTCACTCTTATATTTATATTTTCTATAGATGCAAAAAATACAGCTGAGGGGGCTAAGAGCCCTTAAGACCCCCACGTGACGCCTGGCATGGGTGGGAATCAAACCCTTGACCCTGGCAGTGTTAATGCCATGCTCTACTGGCTGAGCAAGACAGGACCAATCATCCAAAATCATTCACTTAATTGAAAATTGTTTGATGTAGAATTTGATGTGGATGCCATGTTTTGTGTTAATTAACTGGACATTATGTCAATGTTATGGCAAATCATCTAAATAATCATCCATGCCTTTCCCTGATAAGTCAAGGACAGCTGTTCCCAAACCTCTCAGATCTATCACTTCTAGTGGCAGAGGGTTTAGGATTGAAGCCCAACAAAGACAGTGATTAGAAATGTCCATTACCTGTTCAAATGCAATGCATTCATACACCTGTTGTATGACTCATGAACTGGACAGCACAGGACCATGAAAACATTGATGTTAATATCCATGTTAATATCTGGTTTTTTTTCTCCCAGGTGGATAGAGAAGGTCAACCTAAAGGTGCGAGCGACCTGCGCCAACCCCCCTGAGATCCGAGGCCGGCGTGTGAAGGACGTCCACATCTTCAGGGCCTGCCCTGGCGGAGAGAGTCTGCCTACCTCCCCTACGCTCAGCCTAAAGACCTCAAAGACGCCCAAGGCCACCAAACCAAAGCCGGCGCACCTCAACAGCCCTCGAATGGGCAAAATGTCAAAAGCCAAACCCAAACCTCGTACAGGTCTGGCGGCGAGACCAGGAGTAGCTATGAAGACCAGCAAAAGACGCAGTGAGGCTTGAACCTGTACTTCCATAAGGGGAGCTCCCCAACTGACAGGGGCCCCTTTAGCGTTCCTTGTGGCATCCCAGTCAGCCACAAAGGACAGCACCCCTTGACACTATAGGTCAAGAGATGAACCAAAAGTTGTACGGTGGGTAACTGTAAAATTGATAAAGACTAGGGGTGTACTTTAAAATCTCCCAAAAAGGGCCTATTAAAAATCTTTACACAAATAACTTCACCATGCCGCGTTTAGGGCTTGTACATCGCGACGTCACATCGCAATTACCTACATTTTGGAAGCATAGGAGCGTTGTAATGTTAGGTATGTTTTTTTTTAGTTTAGTAATTCATCTTGAAATTATTTCATTGTGGGGAGACATTGTGTTTGAAACTGCAACAGCATTTCTCATGCGAGATGTGGCAAAACAAAGTTTATTAGCCTAGGTTATTTACGCTGATTTAGGATTTTACAGTACTACAACTCTCCTCAATTTGGCCAACAGTATCGCCAACAAAAAAATCCCATGATGCATTCTGACGTACAAGCCCTACTGAACTCTTGGTATGAACAGAAAGAGAGGGATATGAGTTTCTAATGGCCGCAGCTACTTTAGTAACATGCTCTAAAATCTTTTTTGGCTTGTTTTCATCAACCACTACAAAAACTGTACTCCGAAAGTATTTCCTACATTCTGTAGAGCACATTTCATGATTCACCATTTTCCCACCATTTTGACTCGGCATTCCTTGTGACAATCATTGAACAAACATTCAAACACACCTGGTTCAGCGTTGACATTTAATCAATGGATCGCTCGTATGTGGGTCAAAGACGTGACGCTTGCTTTTTCTGTCCAACAGAACTTATTACCTAATAATAAACAAAATGCATAAAAATATAACATGTATGTCTAATACCTTCCTTATACATGTGCCCACTCTTTCTTTAAACATGTTGGTTATTGGTCATTTTCTGCCATCTGAAGTGTGAAAACATGTGGGGCGACCGTCCGGCCTTGACTTCTGTTTGGACAACTAGTTTTAAATCACATTAAAACAATTTAAATATAACCCTTGCCCTATTTGGCATAATTTCAAACTTGTTTTCCATTTATTGACAAAGTTATGAAGCATTTGTACATACATTTCAATCATAATACACAAACAAATCTTGTCCGAATATGTTCATTGTCTGAGATATCATCTGGGGCGACCATCAAGAAAATACAATTATGGGACTTTTATTTTGACAATCATCTCGAGGATGTTGCATCAGCCAGCCACACCGTGAGGGTCCCAGAGAGACAACTTGCAGGTCAGTAGTCTCTCTCATCTTTACAAATAAATCACCTTTTTAACTGCTGCAATGTATACGTCACATTTGGATATCATGTGGGGCGACCACCCTAAAACAGCGAATGAGTTTTATTCGCAAATCTATATTTTGAAGGTACATTTGTTAGTGATATGTGGTGAGAAGTAGCTAGCTTGGATTCTATAGCTAACCATTAGCCTGTTATATTTGATTAAACATCATGTGGGGCGACCACCGTCGACGGTTAAATGATAGAAAATAAATGTCCTGTATTTGTAGTTTCTGTATGCTTTGTTTTCATTCATTATATATATTTAGTTCATTGTTTTAACATAACTTTCTATATTTCAACATATTTTTCTTAATTTCAAACATTTCCATACTACTTTACTTTCATTATTGTGTCATTATCAGAGAAATGTGTGAATATTAAGCATTCATTCTATTTTTCAGTTCCTTTTCTACCTCTATGTATGTTTAACTATATAACTTTTTTCTAGATGGCCTCACTAACAAGCAAAAAAAGACTGCTCGCTACAGGCAGCGGATCAATGCAGATCCAGTAGCAAGAGCTGACTATCTTGCCAGGAAAATGATGATGTTATGATGTTTATGTGTCAAATGAAATAGTAAGGAAAATGCTATTGTTATGTTCAAGTGTTTAATGAAATACTAAGGAAAATGCTAATGTTATGATGTTTATGTGTCAAATGAAAATGAAATGAAAATAGTTATACGCTGATTCTTTAATACATTTTTTCAAAAATGTGTCTGAACCAGGGTTGCCGTGGATCTTGAAAAGTCTTAAAAGTCATTAAATTAAATTTTCCATAATCAAGGTCTTAAATGTCTTAAAAAGTCTGGAATTATTGGGCTGGGCGGCATTAAATTTAATCGGGGGCAGAATTAATGAGCGGGTGTATTTTGTTTAATTTCTATTTTTGTATCTTGTATATTTGTTCAGTTTTATGTTTTATTTTACAAACTACAATGTCCGGTTGGTCAAACCGATAGCATGCAGTACAGTCTATTACAGCCGTGTGTGGTTTGGCCCACATTTAAACGTAGAAGAAGAGTGTTTCTCGATCTCCGGAATTAAATTTTGCGGTGCGGCGGGAAAGAGGAGAAACGGTAGCATACGACGCTGTTAAATCCATTTTTGCAAATCCCTGTAGCCATGGGCAAGTGCAAATTTAATGAGAAGTGGCAAGAGGATGATAAATATCGCGGCTGGCTAAAACCATCGGCTGATCAGCATGAGGCGCGGTGTGAGCTGTGTAAAAAAAAACTTCAAACTCGGAACAATGGGCTGTGGAGCCAGGCCCGTCGCGAGAAGGCAAGCAAACCAAGCAATTGCTTGGGGCCCCGAGCTGGCCTGGGGCCCCCCCACGCGTAGGTCGTCGGTCCGGGCTGTATGGCTATCGCGCGCCCCCGTCGGTCATAGGTACGGGGTGGATTACGATCGCGCTGATCACCCTAACCCTATTTCCGAATATGCCCGCACTGTCTCCAGACAGTCTCCGCAACACCGAGGCAACCGACAGTCGCAACACCAAGCGGACCGAAAGACGCAACAAGTAGGCCGACCCACACCTGTTACAGCTGTAACAACAGCATTCAGCGCCTTCTCTACGGCATCCGTATTGAGGGCAGAAGTGCTGTGGGTTTTGAACACAGTGAGCCACCACCACTCCTACAATTCAAATGTAAATATTAATTCAGTATTCGCCGAAATGTTCCCGGATTCTGAATTGGCCAAAACATTCACCTGCGGGAAGGATAAAACGGCCTACTTTGTGAGGTTTGGACTTGCGCCCTACATTAAAAGGAGCTGATCTCTAAGGTAAATGAGGACGCATTTGTAATAATGTTCGACGAGAGCATGAACAGATCCACAAAAAACGAACAGATCCACAAAAAACAAACAGCTCGACCTGCACGACATTTTTGGTAAGATGGCAGTTGTTAAGAACGTTACTATTCGTTATTCAAACTGAATAAAACTCATAATGAACAGAGTATATGGTCTTGATTTTTTTGCAGCGGTATTGGTATTAAATTTTCCTTTTAGAGGTCTTAAAAAGGTCTTAAAAGTCATTAAATTTATACTTCAAAAATGTGTAGATACCATGGTCTGAACTCTGTAAATTATTGAATAGCCTTAATTGCCTGCTGTTTCTCATCATTTGGGGTGACCACCTGTCATGTGGGGTAACCAACGATTGGCAATTCTGTACTAAATTTAAAAGTTAATGTCTATCAGTTTTGGTTCAAATATTAATCATTGGTATAGCATGCATAAGTGGATACTATCTGTACACATTTTAAATCAGTTTTATGAATTCTAGAGTAAAAAATGTATATGTAACGGCTAGGGATGTCCGATATTATCGGCCCACCGATATTATCGGCCGATATTGGCATAAACAAAATCAATATCGGAAAATATCGGTATCGGTTTTTAAAAAAGCTCAAAATGACTAAAGTGGCCTATGGCATGTTATACCTTGTTGGAAAGCTCTAATTGTCCTGAGTCGAATGCAAGCGACCATTTTCTGTTAGTACAAAGACAGTGTGAAATAAATAAACACTTTGTTTGAAATAATTTCAGACTGTTATGTTTGATGACATCAAACGCGCCGTCTCAATAACAAGCCTGGGCGTGTGCGGCCGTGTAGTGGGACGCTAGTTGTAGCTGTAGTTATGTCGGTGGTTTGGAATTATTTCAAAGTTTGGAATTATTTCAAAGTTTCCGCATATATCGGTATCGGTATCGGTTGATATCGGTATCGGAAATTAAGAGTTGAACAATATCGGTAAAAAAGCCAATATCGGACATCCCTAGTAACGGCTTTATGAGGGAGACACTGCCATTATAGATAAAATGTATTTAAAAATGGTTTACAAAAAATGAAAGGACACGAGTCTATCTTTCTTAAACAGTTATGATACTTATTAAAATATAAGTTATGTTAAGGAAATCCATTAATTTTGAGATCAATTACGGTCACCCCAAATGACTTTTTTAAGGT